AGTTGAAGTATATGAAAGGGACCAAAATGAGATCAGTCACAGATGCATTTTATGTATGTGAGAGACAAGAAAACCTGTTTTAGCTATTTATTCATATTGTAAAGATGGTGTATTAACAGCAGTTAAAAAGGGATGCAGCGTTCAAAATTAGGTATGTGAAAGGGGTACCATGTGTCACTAGAGGGTATACAAAAGGGGTACCTTTTCTGTCTAAAATGGTACATACAAAGGGTAAAGGGTTGGTCCCTGGGGCAGAGCCTCTTTGGTGAGAACCACCCCCCCTCCCCTCTGTGTTACTGTTACTCTAGTCTGATTCCTCTCTTTAATTTCTTTGATACTGTGCTTCATTAAATGAATTAAAATTCATTTAAAAGCTTCTTGCCCCTTTTTTGAAAACCCCGATATGTTAAAAGAAATTATTTCCCCTGGAGGGGAAATAAACTCAGGGAAAATGGGTAGCAAGATCTATTGTGTTATTTTACATGCGCTGAGTAAGCGTAATGTCGCCACTATACACATACAGTTGCGCGTGTTTACTGAAAAACATATCGGCACTCCAATCTTTTGCTTCCTATCACTTGTGTGAGACCTTAGGCAGTTTATTTCCAAAACTACAGACAGCTTGCTTGAAGGCTTATCAACCACCTTCTAATAAGCTGCCAACCTCTGCAACATTGATGATGTGATGCTTGATGGTAGGTGCACTGCAATATTATTGAATCAAGCTAATAAAGCAGCTTGACAATATTAACTGGTTTAAGTCACTGATACATTCAGTTTTACACTGAGCTTGAAATAATTTTTTCCACAGTAAAAATAATGTTCATTAAAGAGAAGCAGAGCTCCCTTCTGCAAAAACATTAAAGGAGTCTCCCTAGAAAAAAAAAAAGCATCCAGAGGGCTAAACAGAGGAAGTATACTTACCATGCATATTTTAACAGCTAGCCTTTAGAAAGTACCTTCCAACCAAAGACTTTAAAGTACTTCCCCCACGTATACTTGCAACACTTAATATTGCAGCTCAGTTGTGGTTCACTTTTATCCTAAGTTTGAATTTTATTCTCTTTGTTTTGAACTCATAATCATAAAATTCATATTACCGTACCAACAAAGGGAAGCAAAATTTAAACCTAGGTCATAATAAATTAAAACCACAGCATAGCCATTTGCTTTGAAACAACTGACATCTTTAAGACCAAGGTATGATTGATGTTCCTCGCACATTGCCCGTTAATATGTTTAAAGTTGCCTTTTATTGATGTATTAAATAACCTGATCCATCTTATCTTTTAAAATAATACAATTGCATTTACTTCTCATCATAGGTTTGTAAATATAATATTATTAGACTTACAGTTTTATCTCATCGCCAACATGTTTTAATTTGGGCTTACTTGAAAAAACGCTACAGCTAGGAAGGAGCTCCACTGCTACACTATTACTGTCGAGGAAATACACCTGGCTGCTTCGATCTACGTTATCTTTCAGCATGTATTTAAGCCAAAACCCTACGAAAAGCGTCAAGCAAAAGTAGTTCATTGCTTTGTGAGTTAGACCCAGTATAGATTCGCTTGAGTTCCAAATATGGCTGTGCTTTGAGAGTTTTTGTCCCGACTGTAGCTTCTTTCAACTGCTGTTGGAGCATATTTTGTTGTTTAGTAAAACGCAAAAAGGTGAATTAAAAATGTCATGACATTATTACCTCCGTATTATTTCAAGCACCTCATGAGCATATAGTTCATTAGTAAAATAGCGACCTTAAGTGTTGTTTCGACGCTTCTCTATCATCGATCTTACCGGGATCTTGATCCTTACCGGCCATTTTGGATTTTTATGGAGGTTTCCGCTGACAACTCGTTCCCAGACTTCCGTTCCCCGTTCCCCGCTCCCCATCCCCGTTCCCCGTTTTAGTAACATCCGCCCTTTCCTTAATTACAAAACTTGAATGTCTTATCACGGTACACTCTTTTATTTTTTTCTGTAAGAATATATTTTATACGAATAGCAGGCTGAAAATTGCGAAATCTTAAGAACATGGTAAGAATAAACCACAGGGTTGAAAAGGATCCATATAATTTTTTGGTGTTGAAAATCAGCTAATAAATACACTAAAATTATGTGTTTTTAACTTAACTGTGAAATAAGTATTTTTTTCTCGGTAAAACTAGCCACGAAAACGTGCCCAAAGGCATGCAAACTTTCTTTGTCAAGACTCGCGGTTATCGTGGAAACTTCTCAACTTTACCTTCAATTCTCTTGTTGACTGCTATTGCATATTGCATTCAATTGCTGCGATCGACGTAAATAAGACACGGATTTCCGGTGTGTTTCCAGTTCTTGAGGGAAGGAAGTAATTAAACACGTTCTGAAATAAGGTGGGATATTCTAAAATGTTGATTTTGGAAAAATATGCAATTATTTGCTCATCTTGTTCCAATTTTTATAAGCAAAACTGGAAAGATTTGACTATTTGACAAATGTTTGTTTGCTTAGAAAAGATGTACCCAAAAAAGCTGATTTTGTTCAATACTAAAAAAGTAGCAAATTGTTGCATGAAGAATTCAGTCTATTTGTTGATTCAGAATTTCTTCCATAAATACGTCTCTGGAGAGTCCTCGGCTAAATTCAGCAAAGAAGCTGTTAAACCTTGACAAAAAGACAATTTTATCATCTGGTAAATTTGAGTCAGTTTCTTGGAATCCTTTCCATGACTGTATTTCTTAAGGCAAATTATTTCAAAACTTATTGGTTTATTGCCTATAGTCTGATGAAAAGGGTCGTTTTTTTCGTTTGGTATAAAGTTTCATTTATGTGGAATGGAAGACTGGAGTTTCTGGCTTTCTCGGCTGGGGAAGGGATTTTTGGTGGCTATTCTAGCTAAGGGCAGCACCACTGACTGGACAACATATCACAAAGGTCAGTTTTGGAAATTTTTAAAGTTAGCTAATGCTGCAATTCCTATCCTGTTATGGGAGTTAATGATTAATGATTAATGATTAACAAAAAAGTCGTGAAACAAAATTTTAGGATTGTTTGGAAGAAGACAAGAAAGTACCACGCAGAGGAATTAACTTTACACAGGGACCGTTTCTAGGGGATATCATAATAGACAAGGTATGAATATTCCTATAAAACCCTGAGCAATGATAAATATTGACTTTTTAGTGTATGTCATTTGACTCCGTGATAGGTGTGAAACAGGTGCCCAAGGAGAGAATATATGAAAATTATGTTAAATTTAAATTTAAGACTGACTATGAAAAAGCGCGAGAAATCATTCGATGGCTATTCGCTATTTTCCCCCAGAATCCGGTGTAAATATGGAAGCGGGAAATGATAAAAACGCTTATAATAAATAAAAAATAATAAATTGTCTCTTTTTTTCGCGTCGAGTTAAGGACCAATTTCGCAATCATTCCCAGCTTCTTATGATTTATTGATTAATTCAAGTAGGTTATTGTCGCATATCGAGAAATTTGAATAAGCCTATTTCTTTACACGACTAGTTTGATGACAACAGACTACAACTTGAAAGCTAAACTAAGTTGACACCATGTCCTCTACTATGAGCAAGGAAATTTTCACCGTGATACTAACACTTGGACTTGGCACATTGGTGCAATTTGGTAAGTCCCACATGTTTAGTGCTTCATTTGTAGAATTGAAAGCGTAACAGGAACAAATCATTTCTTGGTCAAAGAAGGAAAAGAAGACTGCATTTTGCTATGGGATTCAAGGCATGGCATCGGAACAAAAAAAAAAGCTTACATAGTTATATTTATATTTTTAAAATTCAAAATTCGAAATAGAATTATATATAAAATAAGAACCATCAATTTAAGAAGTTAATGAACGCGTAATAACTTAGAGCTGGTTTGAGATGACTCTTTCTTCTTTTTTTTTTTTTTTTTTTTTGAAGTGAGAAAAGATGAGAACTTAAGTTCGGCATTTCACTTGCTTTCTCCTCAAAATAGTACGTTCGCTTGATATACATGAAGCCAAGTCACTTTGGAGCCTTTTCTGTTTACGTGGCGGTTAATAAAATACTAAAACCTAGACAGACAGTTTTAATTTTTCGTGTATGTAGGAGGCGAGAGACAAATGAATTGAATTTCTGAAAAGGCAAACAACTTCTTAAACAGTGTGAAACACATGCTGCTTAAGACATTTTAGATGCATCAGCTGCAACTTAGACTGACAAAAACTTGTTCCCTGAAGCGTAGCTACAGCTATATTTGAATTGTAGGCCATGTAGTAGGAACGTGCGTACCTGTAAAAGGCTTGGAGGAAAACACTGACGAACTAGACAAAGGAAAGGGGCTTAAAAGAAGAGAAATACCTGGACGTGTACATTATAAATTTAGTACTGACCAAGAGCGTGAGATACAGTCTGATGTCAATAAGAATTTAGTTTTGACAATTAAAAATTTAAAGCTGCTTTCTTAAAACAAAATGTTGACTACCCAGAATTGATTTGTCTAGTACGTTTAGCTGATAAGGAATATTCCTTATAGTTCTGTTAGTTACTTCTTATACTCTTTTTTTTTCCATTTCGTACCGATTGTTAATGCCAGACCGAGGATATAGTTTTATTGTTGTGCTATAAAAAAAAAATAAATAAATAAATAAAAAAAAACCACCCAAGTAAGGAATATGTTCGGGAAAGCTGCTCCTTTCGTAAAACACACCTAGGAAAGTTCTTTGGAACAACTGAGCTGTGGCTTTTGTTTGGGCACCTACCTCTGGCGAAGCTGATCATTAAAACAACCGCGACAAAAACAATAAAGGAGTCGAAATGCAAAGACCTAGAGTCCCGATTCAAGTGCGCTGAAAAACATATGCATAAAAATGACTTATCTATAAGTTTTGAATAGCCTAGTTAAGTTGAAAACTGGTAGTAAATTCGTAACATAATTATTTAGCGGATCAATACCTCGTTTTAAGCGTTAAATTCTAAATATTTCACCATCAAACTACTTTGAAAAGCCTTTGCCTAATTC